GTTATAGCACGAACGGGTCGGCTCGACCGGGTAAGGACCACGCTCTTACAGAATTTCAGCGTGAAATAGCAGCTTAATGCTGCTGTGTTTCGTTTTTTTATAAGTTGAAATAATACAACAGCTCATTTCTTTATCATTTATTGAAAACAAAATATTTGGCACTGTAAAGTTAAAAATTAAGGTTAGTTCGAACTTTATCAATCACTGAATTTCTATTATGAATACTATCTACATGATATATCAAATTTACATCTTTTTTACTAAGATTTTGTTCGTTACATCGTCAATGAATTCTAAATTCAATGATGGTACTTGGGTTTTTCTAAGTAAAAACTAAAAAATAAACTGGAATATGTTAAAATAAAGTACCTGAGGTTTTTGCGGAAACATGAACTCTTGCCGTATCTTTAATAATATTGATTGGTGATTAAAGTGAGTTTTAATTTCATGTATTTTTTTGTCTAAGAAAGTAAGTAAGTAATTCGTTAGTAAAAATAATATCACAAGTGTTCCAATGTTAAATCATATCTCAAGTTATTATTGCGTCCGTTGAAACACCACCATCACATTTTCACCTGATTATATATATATATACATCCCGTAACTTATTGTACGTCCACTATGGCCAATTTTGCATAAATTAGGAGATGCGACGTTGCCATTCCGTCACCGTTGCCAACGTGTTACTTGTATTTGGTGATACATGGTTATGACAGTCTCATTGGTCTAGTAGTTGTAGTAGTGCTACTGCTGATCGTGAGGTCCTGGGTTCGAATCCCGGGTTGGGCCAAAAAATCGATTATTGAGTTTTTCTGTCAAGAAATTCTCAATAGCTGCCCGGAGGCAGGAAGTTGGCGGTGTATCACCCCCGTGCCTCGGAAAGCACGTAAAGTCGTTGGTCCTGCACCTGATCTCTCTCAGCTCGTGTCGGTTTACCGTCCCATCGGATTATGAGAATGAGGGAATAGAGAGTGCACTTGTGGTTGCGCATACATTTGGGCACTATAATCCTGTCCTGCGCCGATGGCTAGTCTCCATTGAGGCAGGCCGCCGTGACCGTAATTCGGTCTGCAGGACATTATTATATGGTTTATACTGCGTTTGGTACTAGTAATTTTACTTTTAAACTTGTTTTCTTAACCTTACATTTACCTACACATCATATGAATGTCCGAATACCCTAAAACTTTCATACTGAATGATATTTGACACCCGTATTTTTGAATTTAGTTATATTTTTTATAAATGTAGATGCGGACGTCGGCTTATGGGCTTATTTCGTGCTGTACTATATTTTAACATTTTACATTTGGTACCAATCTGCCTAAAAGAGCTCTTGTTAGGTATTTCGCAAGCTACCCATAATTCTGTTTGAGTATAAGTTACCTTTTGATTGAGTACAGGAAGATGGACTCAATTGTAGATATTGACAGGTTTCATAGAAGTTTGTTTTATTATATTGTGACTAATAACCTAATATGGTCTGGCTAAGAAACTCATTTTGATATAAGTTTTTACTGCATTAACTGCCAATAGGTTGTTAATTTCTACAATAGACCGTGGCATATTGTTGCTGACATAACTCCGAAAATATATATTATTTACTTGATCGTGTTGAGTTTTGGTGCTCTCACTGCACCTTAAGGATGAGTGCGACTATTGTACCTAATCTGTACGAAATTACTCTCTACTTAACTAGATTCATTTTTTGAAAGGTTATTTTTGTTAAATTATGACATTATGTTTGGTTTTGCAGTTAGTCGAAATACAATTTAATTTTTCACACACATTTTCTAAGCTTCTAAGCGTTTTATCATTTCTAGAACGAAACATTTTATAAACCACCAAAGTGACTATTTTACACCGCATGGCATCCCTACACTAAAATAAGAATAAAACAATAGCGATGTCATTAGAGAAATGATCATTAATTTGTGTCTTATAAACAAGGAATTAAAATATAAATATATTCATGGTTATATGGACGCCAAATATCGTGCGGTATGAAACTTTACCGATAATCTGACGTCCACATATAGAAATATAACAAAATTCAAAAATATGGACGTCAAATATCATTCAGTATGAATGTTTTAGGATATTCGGACGTCCATATTATTATATGTAGCTAAATCTAAGGACACGAAAACAAATTGGAAAGTAAAATTTTCTACTAGCACTGAGTACAGTATAAACCGACAAAAAATACCAAAATATGCCTTGAGCACTAAATAAATAATCAACATAAATAAATAGTAAAATACAATAATCAACAACAACTTTGGACAACTTTTTTGAAGAAGTGGACGTCAAATAAAACTTAGTGTGAATATTTTAGGATATTCTTACGTCCGTATATGGGTGAATACTCCGTTCAATGTCCATATCAAGTACATCAATCAACTTATACAAGTTTATTTACCTAAGTTACTAAATATAACCAAAAAAAACTTAAATGCAAGCAAGCATAAGCATGGAAAGTTCTCAACGTGCGTAGGTCACAATACGGACGCCAATTAGAGCACGATATGCATGTTTTTAGTAATATAGCGTCCAATATTTATAAAAACAAAGCCAAACAAATTGTATTTCAACTAACTGCAAAACCAAACATAATATCATATATTTAACAAAAATAGCCTTTCACAAAAATGAAACCAGTTAAGTAAAGAGTAATTTTGTACAGATTAGGTAAATAGTTCACACTCATCCTTAATATAGTGATCATAAAAATTAAACTCGCAGTGAGAGCACCAAAACTCAATACGATCAAGTAAATAAATTATATTTTCGGAGTTATTCATGTCAGCAACAATACACCATGGTCTATTGTAGAAATTAACAACCTGTCAATATCTACAATTAGTACTTATTTACAATAGTAAAATAAATAATAATATAGTCAATCTATAATGTATCATGGCTGGGCAATCCTAGATATTTTTTTGTATTTACTAAACGAATAACTAGCTAGTAAATTAATCACGATATCTATCTGTTATTTTTCGCCGGAGACAAAAATGATGTTGAGTATTTTTCGTAACCGCACATTCTGTGGATTTATTTCATTATTTTGAACAATATACGCAACAATTATATCTAATCTGAACCAGAATCATAAAAACTGTATTATTCGTGCTAAACGAATCTAATAAAGATCTATTATTTTTATCTCCTACGAAAAGAACAGACTATAGACATCTATCGGATACCTACATAAACAAAATATCACCTATAAATAAAATATTGCAGAGCGGAATAACTAATAAGAGTGGCAACGTCGCACCATACAAAGGAATTGCGTTAAGCAGGAGAATTAATTAAAAACTGTACATTACGGGGATTCTGGATAATTTGTCCTGATTGTTTTCCCTCCGTCTGGCAATATACGAATATTTGTATATCAACTTGTGATAAATTTTCAAAGAAATGAGTTAAACACTATCTTTGAAATTGTTTAATGGACCAATATTCGCTGTCCTAATGTATAAAAATTGCCTACAAGTGGTGGACGCTACAATAATGCGAAATGAAAGGACGTAGAATCAATATTGTGGTATATATATATATATATGTGTGTATTAATTAAACAAATAATATTTTGGATCATATATATTTTTATTAGTATAATATTATTAGTTTAACTAATTTATATAGTTAATATCTTATTAGAAACAGCAATGGCCAACTTCCTGCCACTAACAAATGTATTAAAATATATTATGTTATTAAAATATTGATAAATTATGTTAATAGCTATTATAGATAGATATTATATTTTACTTAGAATTAATGCAACACGTATTTAAAATTTCAAAACTACTAGATAACGTATATTTTAAACGACTCTTTCTGCATAAAATAAATCATACTTTAAAAAAATTTCAAAAATTCGAACTAACCTTTCTTCATAAACAATATTAATAACGAAAATTTAATCTACATAATATTGTTAGTGATTTTAGTTTTATATCTACCAAATACCAATATGACAATAATAAACGATAGAGAAAAATATAAAAAAACTTTTTTGGAAACTATTAGTAATATAATTTTTTTCTCGTCTTAAAGTCTTAATATACAATATTTCGAAAAAAATCTCTATCAATTTATAGGTAAGTTATTACTAAAACAGCCACTTTTTATAACTTAACCAGTATCGAACATTTATTAAGAACAAACCCTATTTCATTTACTTGGCACGTATGTTTGCCTTATATATTAAAAATGAAAATTATGAAATTTCAAACACCTAACCTAGAGGGGCACATTTAGCACCGAGAAAACTTACAATATTATTCAAAGTCCCAAATGTAGATTTACTCAATTTCTTGTAATGATTTCTTATAATTTTAATGTTTTTTACAATTGAATTTAAAATTTTGATATTTGAGAATTCGATGAGTCTAATACGCTGAAAAAATTTATATTATTGAAGATATCTTGCTGATGTATACCAGCCAAAGATACAATAAGTGACGACTGTAAAAATGTTAAACATCTCAATAAGATATATCTCTTATCCCTTGGGATCAACAGGTTTATAATCTTTTCCCTTGATCTCTATAATAATGTTCGTGAATATCATGTAACAGTTAGAAGATATTGATATAATAATTTCTATTTCTTTAATTTATATTTATTTTGATCACTGTATCGTCTTTCGTTTACAAAATATACAAAAATCTTTGATTATTTTACACTATCTATCAACTACTCTACATGTTGGTCAAGACATAGTATAAGTGATATTTATAGTGAATTGATTACTCATACTATGTTTTAAATTATCCGTGTTTCTTGCCGTATTTTATTTGCATTCAATATGCAAAAAGAACTATTTTTATTTGGCAAAATATTTAATATAAGAATGAGTTCAAATTACATTAGTCATATTATTAAACCACCTCTAATCTAATGGGAGACATTATTTTTACACTTGTAACGGGATTATGCAACTAATATTTATAAGGTTTTTAAAATAAAAGTAAGAAAAACTATTAATGTGAATTATTGTTAGGGCTACTAACATTTGAGCTGCTAACTAAATTTGTATCTGATTTTAAATCCGTAACATTTATGTTAGAATTGATTTCATCTTTAAAATTAGAAATATTATTTTCGTTATTACTCTCATTATCATTTATATTAAGAATATTTTCTTGTACATTATCTACAAATTCTGTTCCTGATTTTTTATCTATATTCTTGCAATTATTACTTTCAGAATTTTCTTCATTACTATCCCTGGTTGAGTTTTCAGAAATGGATTCTCCTTTTTCGATTATCACATCAACGCTTGGTTTAAAAGTGTCTCCATCCTTTTTGACATTTTTGTCTAGTAAATCTGGAGGTCTAACAGTTGATAGGGTACTAGAGAGAAATGATGACTGTATGTTATAGCCAGGTAGTAATTTTGGTTGAAGTGGCAACATTAGGTCAAGGGATCCAGTGGTTGCAGGTCTCGGTTGCAAGGGCGGGGCGGTCATCAGAGGTGGTTGTAACGATGCTAACGAAATTGCGCCACACTGTGTATTGATGATAGGGCTCTCAACTGAAAAAACAAAAACAATGTTCAATATGGGGTACGTTTTAATGGTTAAAATGGAATGATTATGAACTTGTTATAATCTATTGAAATTTTCGTAAGTTTAATGTTAGCCTTACTTACACAATGATAATAATGCTACGCAGTGGCTAATACGAAAAATTTATATTAGTCCCTTTATCGATATTAATAATTATAATTAAATTCAATGTTTTGTTTATTTTATTGCTTGTATGCATGGAATTTTGAGTACAAGTAAGAACTCTTTCATCTTAAATAAAAACAAAACATTCGTAAGAAACATATCATAAATATTACGGCGAATCTTTATTTGTTTTTTAAATAATAATTGCGTCCTTCGGGTAGAATACCGGTTACAGTCGGCAGTCGCGATGGAGACTAGCTATCAATACAATACAAAATTGTAATGCACGAGATGTCCTCTCTATTCAAGACCTCATAGTGCAATGGAACGGCAATCTGACACAACCAGAGAGATATCTGAGACAGTAATAACGGCTTTGCATGCTTTCGGGGGCACGGGGAATAATGAAAAATGAAATACCGCCAAATTCCTAGCTCCGGGCTGTCACTGAGAATTTCTTGACAGGAATTCGAGATAGTCAAGTTCTGAAATAAATGCCTTACAGTATGACTAATATTTTTGCTTTACCAATTGGAGCTCTAGCTTGCAATGGTTGAGTATTGGCTGGAGGTCGAAGTAAATTTGGAGGTCCTTGCAAAGCCAAACTGATCATGTTCATTCCATTTACACCTGTAAAATAAAATTGATATTATAGAAGCAATAGCTTTACAACAATAGTACATGGAATATCTTTGTACTCATATATATCATTATACCATATTATATTAACATCTATAAAAAGGTCAAGGTCAGGTTAAAATAAAAATCTATATATTATAGGAGAATTAAGCATAGGATAAAAGTATAGAAAGAATATTAACAGTTTATTAACGGCAAAAAAAATTATTTTATAAAATTTCAATTTTAAAAATTTAGTTAATTCACCAACCAGCAACAGTTATTATAACGTAGCTTTTTTATATAGGAAAAGGGTGACAAGCGAGCACACAGTCTACCTGATGGTAAGTAATTGCTGCGGCCCATAGACATCTACTTCTATCCTCGTTTGCGAATCAAAATGAAGATGCGTTGTCAGCCTTGGGGACTAAGATGGAATGCTTCTTTTCCAGTAAAAAGGGTCTCCGGTTCTCTACACTCATCATACGAAACACAGCAGCATTAAGCTGCTGTTTGACGCTGGTATTCCGTGAGAGCGTGGTCCTTCCCCGGTCGAGCCGACCCATTCGTGCTACAACTATACAATTGGATTAACAATGACATAAATGTTAAATGCTTCAACAAATATTTAATTCTATATTTGTTAGCGTTAATTCTAAGTTAAGAAGTTTAAAGTTAAGAAGAACCGTGGTAGCTCAGATGGTTAGCGCTCGCTGTAAATTTCACAGTACGCGAGCAAACCGGGTTCGATCCCCGTCGGCATCAATGAAATTGTTAATTGAAATTTTAAGTGCTGATTTACCACGTGATCGGCGGTGAAGGAAATAATCGTGAGGAAACCTGCATGTTAGAGAAATAAGAAAAAAATATATTTCGAAGACGTGTCAAGTTCGCCAACACACATTTGGACAACGCGGCGGACAATTCCTTGCCCTAAAACCCTCTCAGAAATGAGCGAAGGCCTGTGCCCAATAGTGGAACATATATAGGCTGTAGCTTTACTTTATTTAGCGTTAATTTGTTAACATATTAATTGAAGTGTCTGTCGGTAATATCGAAATTACTATCTTTTATTGAGCTTAGCGGTTTATTATTACGCCATTAAGATGTAAATATTCATTCTTAAATGTTTCTCTGTCTGTCTATAAATGTGCCTGTCTGTCTGTCCGGGCTAATTTATGGATTGACTAAATCGAGTGTAATAAAACTACATGAGCAGATAGAGAGCAATACTAGGAGTGATCAAGGCTATGTTTTATCTTAAAAAACTTAGAGATGTTTTCGTGAAATCGAAATTAAACAGTATATGTTTTCTGATAATTATCTCAATCTTGAATGACGCTGCACTAATAGATTCGTGTCACTAGTTTCAAATGTAGTTAAGATGATTAATCTAAATTTTTGTTTTAAGATATATGAGAAATTTAAGCAAATTTCTTCGAAGTTTTAACCTTATTTGCACGGGCTACACTCTATAATAGGTATAAAAGGGTCTGTCAATTTAAACAACTTTACGATTACATATTATTAAAAAGGCCTTAAAGACAATTCTAAAACACCTTACGTAAAATATTAGGATATTTACTTAAACAATAATACATTACTTAATACATTTGCTATATTCTCTTGATTTTTTTAAATGTATTGTATATCAAAATAATGTTACCCTAAATTTTTATCCTATTTGGTCAGAACTGCTCGAACGTAGAAGTTGAGATACAATAAGACAGAGGGATACTTAGAAGTTATAAGAATACCGTGTGTACCAGGGAACTCTAAGCATGTGTAATAAAAATAAACGCCATCTCGTTTCAGGCCCTGTAACCAATACTTGCTAGTAACTTACCAAATTTGTTATTTGCCGGTGACAAATCCTTGAGAACCACCGGATGTTTTACTGCGTTTACCCGCCGGTTGGAGGCGCTAGCGTCGCGTTTTCTTCGAGGTTGCTCCACTGGCAATACGCGACGCCTCTTCTTTGGTAGTTTTGAACGTGCCTGTGGATAGATGGCGATATTTTCAAGTCAAAATGTGTAAAACCACTACGTTTTTTTTAAAATCTTAAGTAGCCTTTAACAACTTAAATATAAACTTAATGTTTTAAAGTGTTTATGCATTGTTCCATCTATACTAACTTGTAAAATAAGGTACATAAAAGACTGGTGATATTTAAGTTTAAAAGTTTTTCCAAATAAATTACTTTCAACAATTATTTTTGTAGCATATTATATTGAATACAAATATATTCCATTCATTACTAAAAAAATACGTGTGGCACTCGGTGAAAGCTATTGCATACCATTTTTTATCAACTTATGCAATTATAATTATTTATTTATTTTATTTATGCAGTTAAGTCTTTGATATTAAATCAAGTTACACTTTTTGAGCGTGGTGACCGAAAAGAAAACAATTTTTTTCTCTTATTGAATAAATGAGAAGTTAATATTGTTTAAAATATTTTTAATATCTTACAATACATGTAGGTTATTCAGGAATTTTTATCATTGAGTGAGCAGCTAGTGTACACGCATACGTCTAGTCGCACGCACACAAACACCGTGCCGAAGTCTGCCGAACTGAAACGACGTTAGACGATGCACGGCTTTCAACGCCACACCTCCGTGCCCGTCGGAGTGGGGAGCGTGAGGTTTTTTTCGTTACGGAATTTCTGGTTTCGGTCCCCGCGCTCAAGGCCCGCGATAGAAGCTATGCAATAGCTTAATATTTCATAATAATTTTAAAAGACGTTCGTTTACCATCAGGTAGACACAACACATCCTAATATTATGAAAATAATATCATAAATGATTGATTAGTAGAAGTGTAAGAATATCCACTGCCCCATGTCTTCAAGTCGTAAGAAACGACAGTGAGAATCAAATCAGGAAATGGTCAGCAGCGACTTTCTAATAACTACTTAAAATAAAACACTGCGGCCACCAACCTTCCTGCCATTTTTTTTAAAGAATAAGGGTAACAAACAAGCACACAATCCAGCTGATGGTAAGTGGATGCTGTGGCCCATAGACATCTACATTTCTCCTAGATTAAGAATCAAAACGCAGATACGTTGTCACAACTGAGGACTAAGATGCAATACCTCGTTTCCAGTACAAAATACTCTCCGGATCTCTACACTTACCATACGAAACACAGCAGTATTAAGCTGCTATTTCACGCTGGTATTCTGTGAGAGCGTGGTCCTTCCCCGGTCGAGCCGACCCATTCTTGCTACAACCATAATATAGCTGCAGCGTGGCACTTGTCTACCGCTCTACCACTTGTGGCAAATATCTCTCTTATGCGGCAATCTACGGGGAGGCCTATGTTCAGAAGTACACATTTAATAGGAAGCAAAGGTAACGGGAAAATGATGTATTAAAACTACTACAATAATATTTTCTCCTGTACATGAAAACGGTCATAAACGTTCAAGTCTTATGGCAATTCCTTGTTACATTTTTGTAATTGTCAAATTGCCGTCATATCGCGCAACGCAGTGCAATTTTGCTCAGTTGAGCATTGCTTTTTTCGACATTCATTGCGTTGCTGGGCGATATAGTTCCAGCAACATCATCGGAATACTCTGCATGGTGTTGCGCAATGCAGTGAAATAATATTACTCAGCTATACTCGTAGCTTCCAGCAAGATTTCCAGTAAGTGACGAGCCAGTCCAGATGTGATTTTAGATACATGAATTGCAAAAGGACGAATATTCTAACCTATTGATAATTGTTCCAACAGTTATTAATACGCGTAGGCTAGGCCATACACGTGCGGGATTCAAACCCACGACCCGCAGCCAAACCATTAGTTAATACACTTCCAAGTTGTCAATTTGTAGCCTTTTTACCCGACTACGCAACACGCAGGAGAGTAATGTGTTTAAGAGCCTATGTCTATAATATGCAACAACCAGGCGCCATATTGTGAAAGTCTTTTAAAATCATCCAGTTTTCCCTAACCACTTTTCATTTTGAATGCCTATTTATCTCTTTACATATTCGTCACATTTTACAAAACTTATAATAAAGCTGTGATAAAGTTTTATATATAATCGTATAATAGGTCTTAAGAAAAATTTCCTTCGCAGTAGGGATTTTCAAACTCAGTATTTAACCATTGGGCTTGTTTACTTTTACAACCTATCAAAAATCCACTGCTGAACATAGGTTGTTCGTAGTTTTTTTTATGCAGCTGTTATCAGAAAAATTCTGCTGCCCGTTTCAGTTTCTCTCTATGACTTCTAGTTATTTTAATCAATACGTCACACAGTCAATAGCTAGTTACCGTTACCGTTACAGTATATTTAAGTCCACTGCTGAAATTTGGCTTCCCACATAGAATGACTAATAGGGGGGATATTTTCCGTAGTTGCCTCGCTTGGCAAGTGGGTTAGCAACAGCATTTTTTATTTTTAATCATTATTAAGAAGACGTTGCTTCTCCATCTCCTGATTTGTTTCCCACCGTCGCCTCTTACGACACCCACTTTACGATATAGGGTAGTGGACATTTTTAAACCGCTACTACACGTTCAATAGAAGGAGTTATATTTAAATAATAGCAAATAAACAGTTATTGCTATTTCAGTTACCAACAGGTTTTTCCATAGAGTAGTGGCGGTATAAATAACACGCAAGTGGGTAGTTTGTGCCACCGCTGATTAAATTCTCTCGCCTAAGTAGTGATTTGTTGGCTCAATCTTTTCTTCGTTTATTAACTGAATCGCCGGCGATAAACTCAATCTTGGTTAACCACTACGAAGCGCATTTTTCCTTGTCGTTTTTCCTGTTACGTTTAATCAAGTAAGATAGAGTTTATAGGTATACTTGTTGTTATTTTTATGGAAGGATGCTAAATGCTGATTATTACGTGTCTACCACCGCCCATGAAAAAATGCAACACTAGGGGAATCGCAGGTGCGTTGCCGGCTTCTTATAAAGGAATAAACTACTTTTTTGAATATACCTAAGTCGTATTGGTCTATAAAAACCGCTGATGGTAAAACATTCCACAAAAAAGTCCTGCGTGGAAAACAAAACCTAGTAAATCGCACAATGTTAAACCACCAGGCACCAGATGATGAGGTTGGTATCGTGAGTTTTGTCACGACGTACGTTTGTGGAATATGGCAGCTGGAATTAATTCGAATAATTCCTCTGAGCACTTTTCGTATTAAGAACGATAGAAAATGTTAGTTTTCTATCGTATTTATATAGATAGTTTCATAAAAGGCTGGTTGTTCAGTTTTCATGCAGTTAATTACTGTGTAATAAATTATTAATACAGTATTGTCAGTATTCAGTTTCGTGTCATAACTGTCCATCGTAATTGTATATGAAGTAGGATGTGTGAAAATAAAAATCTCTAGAATTTGCATTGATAAGTCAGTTTGTTTTATTTCACACGCGCTTAGTATCTTTACGACGTTGGCAACACAGATGTGTAATGTGTATGCAATATGCATACATCAGAACATCAGCATGGCGTCAAATCTATTGGATCTTGATCTTGATCTTGAACTCTGTAATAGAGCGGATTATGTGAAGTGAACTACGATGTTAAAGCTATCTAGTGTCTATTACTGTTAATTATTCTATAGGTATCTATGGGCCACAGCACATAATTGGCTTCAACTTTTTATTGAAATGGAGCAACAAGCGAGCACACAGCCCACCTGATGGTAATTGGATGCTATGACTCAGAGACATCTACATTTTATTCTCAATTAAAAATCAAAATAAAGATGTATCATCACCCCTGAGGAGAAAGATGGAATGCGTCATTTCCAGTAACATGGGTCTCCGTTTTTGTATTCTGTTAGAGCGTTGTTCTTCACTTATCGAGCCGACCCATCCGTGCTAAAACCATATTAGAGCTGCAAAAAAAGGTGAATTCTTTTTCACTTTAGCGTCAGAAATCGGTAAAGAAGACGCTAATAATTCTATGCAGTAATAGAAATCTAATAAACCGAAGAGCCTAGGCAACCACTTTCTAAAATTGTTATATAAAACATGAAAATTATTATCCAAACTTTTCTTCTCTAATCCAAAATTTTCTTCGCAAATATACAAGAAATCCTTGCAAATCCCGACCAATGTTGAATTTGAGTTTATTATATTTGCTCTCAGTAAAATTTGAATCTAGTGGCACATTTCGCGTGCTCAGGTGTGCATTTAAGTTTCGTGAAATTCCAGCGTAATAATATAAAGCTAAAATGGCGTAGCACTCCTTAGGGTATTGCTTTATATTATCTTCGCTGTTGGGGAACTAGAAATGAAATGAATATTGTTCGTGGATAAAGTACCCACTACTGTACACTATCAGGAGTACAGACTGACTAGCAAATACTACGAAATATACTCGTAACTAGTTTCAAAACAATACAAAATATACACAAAATGTAACAAAAAATTTCCATTAAAAGAGATAATAAAATTAAAATAAATCTTTAACTGCAAATTGTATGTGGTTTTATTACCTGTTTTTGACGCGCGCATCAGTATAGTGGGGTTTTACATAATTTTTTTTATATCATTTGGTTGCAAACTAGCACACAGTCCACAAGATGGTGAGTGGATGTCGTAGACTCATAGACATCCACATTTATCCTCATTGAAGAATCAAAATGCAAATGCGTTTTCACCCCTGAGGACTTAGAAGGAATGCTTCGACTCCTGAAAAAAGGATTTCCGGTTCTCTATACTCACCATAAAAAACACATCAGCATTACGCTGCTATTTTACACTGGTATTCTGTGAGAGCATAGCCCTGCCCCAGTCGAGCCGACCTATTCTTGCTAAAACTATATAGCTGCATCGTGGCTCTACAACGTAACATATTTATTCTCCAGCCAAGTAGAGGTAATAAAACCACATACAATTTGCAAATAAAAATTTATTTAAATTTAATTTTTTTAATGATATGATACGTTTGAATACTGATTCTGATTACGTACTTGGGACTACAGTTTTTGTTACACGTTTTATAT